CATTAAAACTACATTTTGCCTTTCTATGCATAATCTCATTAAAAAAAAAAGAAAGAAAAGAAAGAAAAGAAAAATCATGACTCTACTCCATTTACAACACAACACCCCTTTTTCTTCTTCTTCTTCTTCTTCTCTGTTTTCTTTTTTCATTTTTTGTTTCACTTTTGTTTTTTTTTCTTTCTAACACGAGCTGCTAACCGAGCTCGATCTCTGCAACGAAGGATTATTCAAGAACTCGATACAATCCTCAATAGCCTCGGCCCTCTGAGAGTCGATAGTCTCCGCATACGAACGTGATCTCGCCAGGCTGGCGACACGGCCCGAACATCGTCTCGGGCCCGGCATCATGGGCAGGGCCTTCGACACTTTCGACCCAACATTTCGGAAAAAATCGCCAAACGAAAATCTCGGCCGCCTGAAAATCCATATCCTAAGTACTATGGTCTTCTTCTTGCAGCCGCCGGAGCCCCCGTCTTTTGTGGCGGCGCCGCCGTGTTTGGGGCTGAAACAAACTCTTTTGCTCATTTTGGTTTTGTGTGTGTGTTTGTGTTTGGTTTTAGAGAGAGAGAGATGGGAAGGAGAGGCAGTTGTTGATAGTGAAGGAGGGTATTTATTGTTACTTGTTAGGGAGAAAAAAAATGAATTGCATTTTGGAAAAAAGAAAAAGTTTAGTAGTATTGAAGATTCTTTTTTTTTTTTTAAAAAAAAAATGAAAAATGTGACATAGGAATTTGTGGCATAGTGTAATTCATGTGAGACAATATTAGCTATTAGGAGACTAGGTTGATATATTTTTATTTTTATTTTTGTTAAACGAGACGATATATATGTGGAGATTACAATCATTTAAATCTTTTTTGATTAGTAATTAATGAGCTGAGTTGAGTTGAACTTGGTTCGATGATAAAGATTTATATGTAGTTTTATGATTTCTTTTAGTTTATCTCAATTCGTTGGTGTCAATAAACGAGCCGAGCTCGGTTTGTTGGACTCGATATTAGGGGATATTTATGTAATTTTTTGGACTTGACGTTATATGAGACTATCATATTGTTTTTTAAATTACTAAAATATCAATTTTTATTTCAATTCCCTCATAGATTGATCATAGATCACATTTTCATGCAAAAGTATTTGCTTAATGCGTTATAACTTTAGTGTGTACCTTGTTTTATTACAATCTCAATTTAACATTACATTTATCTTTACTATTTCATGCCCAAATAACTATTCTCCACAAACATTCACATACTCCATCATTTAACATAAATATACTATCAATTGAGCAAATTATAATAAGGGTTAGTATCTTGATTATTTAACCATGACTATAGGCCTATTTTGTGGCACGAATGGAGGCTATTTTTCAACACATTTTAATTAATTAATCTTTTTTTGTCAAAAAAGTTTCACTTAAACTAAATAAATATTAATTACGTGCAAAAAAAAAAAAATTATGTGCTAGCAAAAAAGGTTTGTGTTGCACGATTGTAAGCGTGAACTGATTATTTCAGTGGACTTGATTTTAGAAAAAAGTAGAGTTTCAAAATATTATTAAGCATAAATTATAATTGCCTATAATTCATACTTAAATTAAGTTATATAGCTAGAAATAGGACTCGTGTGGTTGTCTTGCAATCCATATTTAATTCGACGAGGTGGATTGATTGCCCAACTTCCTAAAACACAATTATTCAAATTTCTATTGCTAAGATTTTTGTAAAAAGTATCAATCACTATCTCGTTTAAGCCAAAATGTTCCAAAAGGTCACGCAATCTTATTAGCTTAATTGTATAAAATAAAATTAATACTTCACATTTGGTTCAACTTTTAATTTTTTTTCTATTTTGTTCATTTATTTTAAAAATTAACAAGGAATTTTGATAGTAATTAATATTTTATTTGCCAATATTTGCTCCCAAATTGAAAAGGG